GGGCCAGCGCGGCCGTAGCGGGGGCAGCGGCGGCTCCTGGGCGGCGGCCGCCGCGGCGCCCGGGCCCCCGGCCTGCGGCCCGCCCGAGAGCCCAGCCACAGGGCAGCAGGAGCCCGGGAGCACCACGGGCAGGGACATGGACGGGCGGGGAAGGAGCGGCCGGTGGCGGCGGTAAGAGGACGCGGAGCGGAGCCGCGGGCGCCGCGCACTGGGCAAGAGGGCGGGCTCCGAGGCCCAGGGGGAGGGAAGGAAATACGCACGGCCCAACCACTTGCTGCTGCTGCTGCCGCCGCCGCCGCTGCCGCCGCCCCGACTCCCGCCGGCCGCACCCACCTGCCAGCCGGCGGGTCCGCCTCCGGCCGCCCGGGTGCGCCCCACTCCCACCCGGGCACACCCACGCGCGCCCTTCGCTCACGCCGCGCAGCGCCGCCACCCTTTGGGGTCCGGCCGAACCCACGCTCGCTCCCCGGTCTCCAGGAAAGGTGCCCTGCCCCAATATTTAAAATTGGTCCCTCGGGCTAGGAGGGAACGGCAGTCTGGGCGCGGAGGTACAGGCAGCCGACGGTCTGAGACTGTCCCCACCCGCCAAGCTGGGGCGGGACAGGAGCGTCGCCGAAGCGCTGTGGACCCTCGGCCCCTTCAGGTCCAGCCCAGAGAGCGACTCTGGCAACCTTTAATACGAAGGGAGCCTGGCTTTAAACTTTTTTCCCCGGGGAGGGAGGGTGGCAGGAAGAGGAGCTGTGGGTGACTTGATGGGAAAAGTCTAAGGCTCAGGGCTTCGGGGAAGCACAACGCAGAGCCAAGTCACTGTTCGCGTGGGGCTTCCGGGCGCTGACATTGTGCTGCGGCCCCTCCGCCTGGAAGTTGAGGCGTGGCGGTGGGGGGGGGGGGAGTGCTTTCCCTGCACCAGAGTAGGAGCGAGCAGGAGCCCAAGGTTACCTTGGAAGTATCCCGCCTCCAGAAAGAAAGAAGCGGGGGCGGCCCGGAGCGCGTGGCAAGGGTTACACTCTGTGGCCGACTCATCTTGACTCATGAGCTGTATTAGGCATCACCTGGTAGAATGTAGAATCCCAAACTTCCAAAGAAACAGCCTAATAAAAACATAATCTGTTTTTGGTAATTTATAAGATATATTTAGAGCTTAAAAAACTGACTCGCCTTTGTAAAATGATTTTACCTAATAGTCTACCCTTCCCTCGGAAGAATTCTTATGTGTTGAAAGTGTTCGTATACATAAAATGATCATAATAGTTTTTTTTTTTCCCCCCCAGGTTAAGAACCAGAGCAGTGTCGCTTTGCAGTAAGACAGCCTTTGTATTAGGCTTCTCATTTTATCAGTAAGGTGAGGGTATTTTATATCCTCCTGTCCAATAAACCAAAGGAAATGTGTATCCGTTTTTATGCTCTGCTTGCAAAGGCTATATTTATTTTGGTCATTACTTACTTCAGCCCGCAGTGTGATGCACTGCCAATGTGCATGTGTGTTTACATGTACACTTTTTGAATAATTAAAGCACCTGTGACAGGGAGATCATTTCGGTGCTTTGTGACCACCTAGAGGGGTGAGATAGGGAGGGTGGTAGGGAGATAGATGCAAGAGGGAGGGGATATGGGGATATATGTATACATATAGCTGATTCACTTTGTTATACAGCAGAAACCAACACAACATTGTAAAGCAATTATACTCCAATAAAAATGTTAAAAAATAAAATAAATAAAGCACCTGTGATTAATAGTACCAAGGACTTCTTTTACAAACTCCTCTTGAAAATAAACTTCAAATCCTGGAGAAAAAAATGGACCTGTCTTTTAAAATAAACATTTAAAGTATGTTGTTTCATGCACTTTAAAACATTTTACAGTACATATTCTTAAATGGCAGGTGATGTTAAACTGAAAGCTTCTTGTGTGCTAGTTTGTACATTTTATTTTATGCACAAGCTTAAAGGTATTTAATTTTTAAGATTCTACTATATTGTGAAATATAAAAAAGTCTGATTGAGTCTTGGGAAATTCTCTCAGCTTAAATCTATTCCTGTGGTCAGTCCCTGACACCTGAAATATACTGTCAAAAATGTATTATTGGGCTTCCTTGGTGGCGCAGTGGTTGAGAGTCCGCCTGCCGATGCAGGGGACACGGGTTCGTGCCCCGGTCCGGGAATATGCCACATGCTGTGGAGCGGCTAGGCCCGTGAGCTATGGCCGCTGAGCCTGCGCGTCCGGAGCCTGTGCTCCGCAACGGGAGAGGCCACAACAGTGAGAGGCCCGCGTACCGCAAAAAAAAAAAAAAAAAAATGTATTCTTTGGGTCTGGGTAAGTTGGTGCTAGAAGTCAGATATCCTCTTCCGTTGGATGGTTAATGGCTGGAAAGGGAGAGCTCCAGGGGAGCTGATAACCATCTGCTTCTTGCTGTGGGCGACAGTTACATGAGTGAGACTCATTTTGAGAAAATTTATGGAGTTACATTTTGTGCAGTTCTCTGCATTTTATATTTAAACACTTTAAAGTATTTCTAAGTCCTTTCTTCTTAAATTTTTTGTCTATTTCGCTATACAGAAACGATGATAGCCGAGGGTAACTTAAATCCATAGATAGTTTTATCCAATAGCTTTACTTATTTTTTCAGGCCACTAAACGTTTTTCAAAGCTTCTAATTAAGAGTTGTTGTGCAGTAATTTTATTTTATGTTGTTGTTATTGGCCACATTTATAGCTGTGAAGATTCTTTTTCATAAACACAAATCCATAAAAAATTGCTCCAACCTTTAAGATTATACCAAATAGCACTCTTGAGTATTTGAGCTTTGACTTTTATAACCCAGGCTTGACTCTTTGCATCTGCCAAGCAGTTGCTTACAGTAAGTCCTTATTTATACGTGATCAAGCTGAGTTGTTTGTAACTAAATTCTTATATGATGATTCAGAGCCATTGATTTCAGGTTGGCTTTAAAAAATTAAGTGAGGATTTTGGAAAACAGTCTGGCAGTTCCTCAAAAAGTTAAACATAGTATTATCATTTGACCCAGTAATTCCACTCCTAGGTGTATACCCAAGAGAAGTGAAAACGTATCCACATAAAAGCTTGGACACAATTAGCTTTATTCGCAATAGCCCAAAAGGTGGAAGCAACCCAAATGTGGATGAATGAATAAACAAAATGTGGTATTATGGATGAATTTGTTTATCCTTCATAAACAAAATGCAGGATAGCCATGCAATCGAGTATTTTCAGCAATAAAAAAGGGTGAAGTAGTGGAACATGCTACGACGTGAATGAACCTTGAAAACATCACGCTAAGTGAAAGAAGATCGTCACAAAATACCATATATTATATGATTCCATTTATATGAAATCTCCAGAGCAGACAAATCCGTAGAGAAAGAAAGTAGATTAATGGTTGCTTAGGGATGGGGGCAGAGGGGGTGTGTTAGAGGATTGAATTGGGGGAGGGTTATAGCTAAAGGCTCAGTTTACTTTTTCAGGTGAAAAGAATCCAAAATCTATTATGATGATGATTGCATAACTTTGTGCATATACTAAAAACCATTGAATCGAACACTTTAAATGGGTGAATTGTATCTCAATAAAAATTACATGTGAATCTATATGACTCAATAAAGCCCTTACCAAAAAATATTAAAAGTAATTAAAGAAGAACACATGGAAAATTTGACCAGGCATCTCATTATGTAGGTGAAAGTTCAAGGAAACAACGATTGTAGTGTATTGTTGGGTGGAACCCAGCTGCCAGCTTTCCTCGATATCAAAGCCAAATCCGAGGAGGAGAAATTTCCATCAACTCTTCCCTTCCCTCTACCTCATTTTCCACTCCCCGAACTCAAAGACTTTACCTCCCAGGAATTCAGGTTCTCTCACTCAGGTTACGCTGGGCACTTTAACACAAACTCTTCAGTTCTTCCCACCATTTCTCAGAAGCCCCAACGTGTCAGCTAATTACAGGAGGTTATTCCCCGTTAGAGTGAGAGCCGTTGCAGAAACTCCTCAAAACTTGTTCCCTGGCAACCTGCCTCCAGTGCTTGCATTTTACGAGAAGAGCTTCTCTGAGTAAGGCAGAATGGAATCTAGAAGTCCTCATTCAACATGGCTACTCTGGAGCAGCTTCGCAGAGTTTGGTGCAAGGACTAAATAACCACTCCGGAAGCAGGTCAAAATGCAGGTTCATGGGCTTCCTCCTCCTGCACGGAATCTGACACTCTGGAGAGGATGGGGAGCCTACATTTTAACAAATTTTTTAAAAATGTTAATGGATGGTAGTAGCCAGACTCGAGAATCTTTGCCTGGGGATTTTTATATGGGAAGGGACTAAGAAGTAGCAAATTAGCTGGAAGGGGAAGACAGAGGATTTGGCTTGAAGACAAACTGAGATGTAAATATGTTGGAGGGAGGAGTTTGGCTGGTCCCCAGGCAGACACCGCTGCTCAGGTGATTCTAAGGCACAGGAAGGGCTTAGACCACTGGGTTCTAATGGAAAGGGGACTATATTAGGAGCCAGACATCCAGGGCCCTAGCCCCTCCTCCACTCTGTGATCTTTAGCAGCATCAAGCTTCTCTAGCCTCAACTGCTTCATCT